GCTGAGTCATATATAAAGCAGCAGGAGCAGGTGGATTAGATGAGTGATAATTAGTAACCAGGGAGGGTTAGGCAGGTGAATGAAGTAAGCAGTTAGTTCAGTTATCAGGGTGGACAGAATCATGATATGGAAAAGAGCTGAAAGAGTAGAATAGAATGAAAGAATAGAATAGAATAGAATAGAATAGAATAGAATAGAATAGAATAGAATAGAAGAGAAGAGAAGAGAAGAGAAGACAGTCACGATATCCTTCATGGTCCAACAGCAAAATAAAAGCACAAAGATGATTTTTTTATACCCCTGGGAGATTTGAACTTTTATAATTTTTTTTCTTAATTATGAATAATATACAGTTGTCAAGACAGTGTCATGGGACAACAGGCAAAAAGAGACGTTTCATTTACTTAGATTTGAACAAAAACTGTGATGTTTAAAAGTAATCTTACCCTCCTTAATACTGTAAGAATGCCCTTGATGGTTTCTAGTAATAGTCAGATTTTTCTATTCTCCATTAGTATTCTGGCCTATAAATCTGTTGCACCAACTCTTTTAGTTTGGGGGGTGGGGGACTTCTTTCCATCACCCTGATCTTTCTTAAGGCTAAAGCATAAATGTTTTACTACCAACCATTAATTTCTTCATCAGTTTTGCTGTGTGTTTTCAGGCCGTTGTTTTTTTGAAATGTCCCAAGCCAAGTTTCTCAGCAGGCTGCCTGATGTTATTGATGAGAAAGTTGAAGTTTTCCACTTTTCCATGATAGCGTTTGCTATCATCAGGTTCCCTGGTCCATTGGTTGAAAAACACAACATATGCTTTATACTTCCACCACCACCAGGAACAGAAAACAGAAGTGAATAAGTCTTCATCTTTATCAGGGTGAAACTTTGCAAAGGCTAGCTGGCTTTTGTTTGCCTTATCTTGGGAAGTAGAGTCCTCCTCGGTGTGCATCTGTTAAACTCAGTAGTGTGCAGTGTCTGAACCCAGACTCCTCTGGATGGCCTTGGAGGACTGATCCCTGCATTCTGCTTCACACTTCTATCCACCTGGCCAGCACAGGTTTCATGTAAGGCTTCTAATCACAACCCCATATTTTCCACAATGTAGAGTGTCTTGTCTTTTAACTGCAGAAGACGTAGTCAAAATAAAAAAAATAATTGTTACATAAATCATATAACATTACTTATATATTGATGCAAAGCAACAGCTCCTCCAACCAGGTCAACGCTTATATCATTGACTTTGTCACGTTAATATTGCTATACTGCTTAAAACCAACAAACTACCACAACTGTTCAGGAAATCAAGGTTGTTTTACTTTCTTCTAAAACCCTCTGAAAGCAAAAAAACATATAAATAACTATTAATAAAAATACTATTCAAATTAACTTTATTCAATTCAATTCAGTTTATTTCTATAGCGCCAATTCACAACACATGTCATATCAAGGCACTTTACAGTTCAACCAGATCATACAGTCAAATTGATTGAAAGTTTTCTATCTAATGAAAACCAGTTGATCGCTTCAACTCGAAGGCAATCCCTCACACTGCGCATGCTCGTAGCAACAGTGGAGAGGAAAACTCCCTTTTAACAGGAAGAAACCTCCAGCAGAACCAGGCTCAGTGTGAGCGGCCATCTGCCGAGACCGACTGGGGTTCAGGGAGACAGAAGCAGATATAAAAAAGGCAACTATAAAACGCGCCCCCCGTCCAGGAAACACACAGCCAGGCAGACGAGCTCCGAGCCAGCTCCCATGTCAGAGGATGATGAGAGCACATCCAGCCAGTCCCAGTCATAGAAACAGGACTACATAGTAAAACAGGCCGATCTTCAATATCTCTAAAATGTTATTTTTGCGGGGCTGCTCAGTAGCGCAGTGGGTGGCACTGCTGCCTTGCAGCAAGAAGGTTCTGGGTTTGATTCCCAGCCTGGGGTCTTTCTGCATGGAGTTTGCATGTTCTCCCTGAGCATGCGTGGGCTCACTCCGGGTACTCCGGCTTCCTCCCACAGTCCAAAAACATGACTGTTAGGTTGATTGGCTTCTCTAAATTGTCCTTAGGTGTGAGTGTGTGCGTGAATGGTTGTTTGTCCTGTTGCCCTGCGATGGATTGGCGACCTATCCAGGGTGGACCCCGCCTCTCGCCCATTGACTGCTGGAGATAGGCACCAGCACCCCTCACGACCCCACTCGGCAGAAGCGTGTAAGAAAATGGATGGATGTTATTTTTGCTTGATATTGAATGTATCATATATTAGGATTCTCTTGTATGTTTTGTACACTTGTTGGTAAATTTATATAATTTTACAGCAGATTGAGGACTGAATCTGTTTTAATAAAAACAATATATCCAAAAGAATGTACTGTTTTACCATTTAGCTGTGTTTATATGTGTGGAATGAGGTGGTGTAATCTGATGGGGGATGGGCTTTTATTGATTCATGTACATGTACAGCTTCAAATCATTGTAATCAAATGATGACTACCGAGTAAAAAAAAAAGACACCACAACACATGCTTAAATTTGTTGAATTTATTGTTTTGTTGTTATAACAATAAAATATATCTAAAGAAAAATGCAGATTTCTATTTTAGGAGAAAGACATTTCAGTTTACAATTGACTCACAAGAAGAAAAAGAGAACAAAGCAAGAACCAAAAACAATATCAAGAGAATCAGTTTCACAACAGTAGCGCTTAGACCTCAACATAAAGCAGGTAAGAGTTTTGTGTTGAATGTGTCCTCATAGTGTAGTAGATATTCACTTCACAACATAAATTTACTGTACAGAGTGACGGCTGCTGTCTCAGCTGGAAAACCAAGGTGCGTGTGTGTTCAGGCAGTCACTGAATTAAGGCAGACGGAATGATTGTCTATGATACCTTGAAATGGCAAACAAGGACTAATCTGACATGGCAACAGTAGGAAAGTTGAGCTGCACAATAATACAAACACCACTTTGTTTCTTTGTTTTCACTGACTCCGGTGACAGACGGGAGCAGAAAGTATTGTCACTGTCAGTTTGATTGGAGTATTTTTCAATGTTTTTTTTTTTATTATTATTTTTAAACACAACTAGGAGACCAGTGTGGGACAAACACGAGTGTTACTGTTTTAACAAAATAAGTTTCACAAACAGAGCAAGAGGAACGAGGGACCTACCCGCTCCAGCCGGTGAACAATACCTCCTTAACGACCAACCCTTAACAATCATAGACAGGTTTCAGGTATTACAGGAGACAATCCCCCCCCTTAATGGCAATCCCCCCTTTAACGACCGACCCCTAGAATCATAGACAGGTTCAGATATTACAGGCTAACGATGGAACTAACGACCCATTCATCGGTTACCATTGCATGTTTCCAAGCGATACAAGGCGTTGTCTATATAAGACTCAAACTCACTGCGGATCCAGACATTTGAATTGAGAAAGCTTCCTGGAGAGGTGGCGAAACGTCTTCAAATCTTGAAAACCAAGTCCAGTGGATATTTTTTGAATTTTTACGGAAAAACAGAGCAAGGTTTTTAGCTAGACGAGTTTATGGTTGTGTTTGGACTCACTGTTTTCTAGTTGTTTAAAAGTTTGCAACTGTCAGTATGAGAGATGGTTGTTACGCCTTCCTTCACCAAAACTGGGCCACCTGTTCATTTAAATTAATAAGGGTCAGTACTGTCTCACAGTGACTGCTGTCACATCACTGTATCACTATCAATATCTGCACTTATGTCTCAATTACATCCTCGTTTTAAAAGGACTGATGTGCAAATGTACTGTATTAAGACTAACTAATCTCCCTCATCACCTACCAGCTAGGTGGCTACATTGTTTACAAGAGCAGAGCCTGACTGCAAACTTCCCCTAAGGGTAAATAAAAGTCTCAGATCAAGACTGGATTAAATCTGATCACTTTTTTTTTTTTGTCAAAATACTCTTTGTAAATAAGAAAATTGGTGTAAAATATATATGTCCACAAAATTGACAAGGTTTGAAATGGAAACCCATCAGCTCATTTTCGGCTGCAAAGGCCTGGTTTAGATCGAAGCCCATTTATATTGTAGAATGTCTAAATCAGAAACTTGGTTGATCTTTGAAAGTAGTAATGTGCTGTTCACATGTGTTTTCTAATGAGCGTAAGCTATTTTGCAAAGAAGAATAATCAGATATGCCAGAGCCTACATCTTTAAAAATCCTAATAAACAATGAATACTTTGTGGTGAAACTGAAAAGAACAAGGATGTTAACGGAGGTGAAGGGCATTAATGCAAGAAGGCATTCTATTTGTATCTGAATAAGAATGGGATTAAGCTAAGGGGAGGTATAGAAGTGGGACAAGGAGAGAAGGTATCCCCATACATGGCTTTTTGTTGTTTTTTGTAATGGGTTGGTTTATCATGAGGCAAATAATAAACCAGTGTTAGTCTATTTTTGCACAGATGAGTCCATCTTTGGTTGACAGATAAATGAGAATGAACCATCATCATTTCTGAGGTTTAATTGTTTCCAGCATTTTGAAAACCTAAATAATAAGTTCAGATTATACAGAGAAGTCAATATTCTGCCAAATAACCGTCAGTCGGCTCTGTGCTGTTAGGGAAAACTGAAGGACAGGCTTTTCCACAACATTTTCCCATTTCCCAAACTGTTGTCTTTTTAATTGCTGTATCCTAACATTTTCTCATGGATTTCCACCTTCAATATATTTCCTCTGTCCTGGCTTGCTCGTTTTTGTTTTTTCATATCTCTGAAAAGTACCCTTTTGCTATTTTTTAATCAGCGTTCACTTTATTACTCTTTCTGTCTTTTAATTCTTTTTGTTGTTTTCTTTGTGATGGATTTTCAGTTCAATTGGAATGTTTTTTGATAAGAAAAACTTTTTGATTAATCACATTTTCAAAATAAATAGATAAAAACACTATTCTACAAAACAGAAAGAGGCTGCCTGTAGGGGTAAAGGCAGTATGTGTGTTCATATCTACTCTGATAAGAACATGTTATATTAAGCTTCAGTGGTTGTTGTTTTAACTTTGGTAAATATCCTTATTTCACAGCCTTCAGACATTTATAGGTTTTATTAACCCTAAGAGGGGGACGTTTCTATAAAGTTCAAAAAGCGCTCATGGAAGTGAGGAGTATGACAGTTAGATTTTTGATTGTCATGTTGATCAGCACCTCACTGAAATCCTTGATGCATTATAATTTATACAACAATAATTATAAAGTCTTTTCTATTTAAATAGAATGTTCTACTTCCAGTCTTGCACCTAAAACAAACTTCTTTACAGAAGATCTTGTTGCAGGCAGCACAAATGTGATTTCTATAAGAAGGCATCAAACTGGGATGTAAAAAAAAAGCCTGACAAACAGGCAGTCCTCCCATCGCCCCTCAGTGGAACATTTCACAGCTAGAAGTCAGGTTCAGTGTGTCAATGGGAATTTAGTTTTAGGTCCCTGTAGACATCACCTCTGCAGCTCCATGGTATATACAATAACTTGACTGTACTCTTAAACTGGTCTTATTTATGTTTAATGAAAAAGAATCTAAATTCCCCTATAAACCCAATTTCAGATGTTTTCAGAGAGGAAATCCAGTTTTAAGGTCATGTTAAAGTAGCTGTGCAGGATATGAAAATGGAAACATTCAAACTCTGAAACATCTTTTTTGCCCTCCGACCTTAGGAAAAGCCTTAACAAAGATGACCCAGTGTGAAAACTTTTTTTTTTATGTCCACACACATTCTGTCTTACTTGCGCACGCACAGTCTCGCACAATTTAACACTTGGTGGTAGAACATTTCTGCATGCTTGTTCTTCACACACACGCTCTCTTGGCGTGCAACATCTCGATGAGCAGGTTGTTGCAGGTTACCTCTCCGTTCAGATGCATGTAGCAAAGGTAGTCCTCAGCCTGCGTGCTGAGGGAGCGCAGCTCGGGCAGCTGCACAACCAGCTGGCTGAACTTATCCTGAAACTGAGGGTAGGTGGACAGGGTGTATTCAAGGAGAGCTGAGTTCACCTGCTCCTGCACGCCCTCTACAAATGCCTGGTTCTCCAGTAGTTTTACATCTGGAAACACACAGAGGATAAATGAAGCTAACTGCGAGATATATAAGATGATAAATTAAAGATATAAATAATAATAATTTTAAACGACACATTCACAGAAAATGATCCAATCCATCTTGTCAAAGCAGAATGAAACAGAAAAACTAAAAGTTTGCAGAAAAATAAAAATTGCAACTGTTAACGTGGACAGCAGCAGATGCTACACACATTTTTGGCAACATGACCATGACGGTCAATTTCTTTACTTTTGCCTCTGCTAGTAATTTAGAAACTTAGCTGATCAAATATATTTTACAGAGGAAACAAAAATTACTAATTGATTTGTTCTTCCTTTAATAGCTGTGGCATTGATTGAGTGTATTAAAACATTCACCCAAATTATAGGCAAAGAATAGAGAAAAGGAAAATTCTTTTAGTGGAAAAGTATTTATTAAAAGTAAGAATCTATTTATTTAGTCTCAGGAAGTATGTGAAGGTGTATAATAGGGCTGAAACTAACAATTATTTTGCAAATCAATTAATAATCGGAATGGCCGAAGTTTTCTTAAAGAAGACTTTTTATAAAATTAAACCCAGTGAATTTCATAAAAACTTGAGGTGTTCTGGATAGAGCTTATTGACAGACGAAAATGATTTTGTTTTTTGTATCTTAAATGCAAAATGTTTATGTGTTTTCTTTTTTTTATTTTCACCTAATTAATGCTCTACGTGGGTTGCTCTGTCAACTAAAGGGATGTTTTACAGTCTCTATACTCCAGTTAACGACTTATCAATTACTAAATTAGTTGATGATTATTTCATTAATCGATTAATTGTTTCAGCCCTAGTGCATAAATCAAGTATGTAAATCATGTTATACAGAAGTTAACACAATATTTAACATTAAGAACATCAGAACATTTTCTGATGTTATTGTAAAGTAAATCCATTTTCAATAAATCCAATTAAACAATATTCTGTTTGAATATGAAACCGTTTGAATTCATTCATTGGTATAGTTTGCACCAGCATGCAGCTCACTGAGGTATGCTGATGTACTCAATTATGCATTTTATAACCTAAATGAATATATGCAAAGGTCCCTCTATGTTTTTTTTTTCCCGTGTCAATGGAGTGTGTGGGTGTGTGTGTCTTTCTTTCTGTGTGTATGTGAAACAATAGCCTTGCCCTGCAGCTGAATAGCATTCACCATCAGCTGAGCCCATCTCAGAGAATCCATTCACACAGTAATTAAATGTTTTGAATCAATGCTCTGAATCATCTTTTCAAACTGCTTAAGGGCAATTAAATTACCCCCAACAAATATGACACTTAGGATGAGGCAGAGCAAGAGCGTGAGCGAAGAAGCTGCTGCCAAAGACGGCAAATATTTTCTGTGTATAACGAGTGCTCTCACTGTTCAAAAGCTCTTTGTTCCCTGCTTTGCCAGCATAGAACAGGGAACACTTCTGGGAATCTGGGCAAGCCACATCTATGCTCTCTCCATCTGCACAAGCCACTACATGAATGTCAGTCTTGCTATCAAATGATAAACCCATCCATTACTCTTTTTTGAATGCCATTAGTGGACAATGGAAAAGGTTGCTTTTGTTAATATTTGGTTTTGTCAAGCTAAGACACTTAATTAAGTGAATTCATTGTAGGGAGAAAGGCCATGCTGAAAAACACTTATATTAAGAAACCACAGATTATCTGTTTTTGGGACATTCTTTCATTAAGATGTCTGTGTAGCTATTTAAATGGTGAATCCACATGGAAATGGTTACTCAAATCCTTCATCATTTTTGCATTGATTATTTTTCCCTTAATGCATCACTCTGTATGCAGACCTTCCATTCCAATGTGACAAAGAAAAAAATCCACAGCAGACATCAAAGCCACCGTTTCTTATTTATGACATACATAGAACAAAAAAACTGTTATGGTTTATCTTTTGTTAGAAATGAGTATACATCTATGTTCAGTTTACTGATGAAAGGTAATCATGAGAATGACTTACTGGGATTAAACAGAAGGAGAAACTTGAGACAAGCCATCTCCCTGCGATCGACCTGCAGCACCTGCAACCTTGCTGCAAGCTCCTGACCTCTCTGGACCAGACTGGACAGAGTTGTCTCTCCTTGCGACAAAATAGATGAAAGTTCAATCTGCAAGAATTTAGAAGGAGGAATTTCTTTGTTATTTTGTAAAACAGAGCAGTCATCTAAAGATTATCTCTAAATCCCTGCTGTATTAGACCTTAGGAGATAATGAGCCTTTATAGTGAATAAATAGTTGTCCCTAAAATGCAAAGGTAAGTTTCTAGGTTCAAATTATTCGTTTTTATTGTGAATACCTTGTACAAAAAAGATATTAAGATACCAAGACTTTTTCTCTCTCTCCCCTTTAACAGGAGTAACAGATTTCAGAACATGTAATGTAAAGCATGTTATTTCATGTAACCATGAAATATACTTGAGTTGTTTCTTGTATTTCACTGAGAGACTGAAAAACACCACTAACAATGATTGATTGACGATGTAATACAGCAGGACAAATGCTTGATGACAGTATTTAAAAATTCATCAGGAAAAATCCAGTGTGTTTCTATGTTAGGATTGCTGTAATTCCCAGCTGAAGATTGATTGTGTTGTAATTCCCCAAAACCTTTTCATGCAAAAAAAAAAAAAAAAAAATGCTACTGAGTTGACAAAGTGATTTAATTTTTAAATCAGGACCTACAGATGGCAATCTAATTTCAGCAAATACAGACCTTATTCTGTTTTGCTTATTTTGGATTTGTATTACAGATCAACGGATAATGATTTTTTTTATGGCAGATACCAATTATTTGTCACCATTCTACAGTAACCCACGGGCTCCCAACCCTGCCTCTCAGGATCCCTTGTTCTGTATGCTTTAAATGTGTTTCTGCTCCAAAACACCTGCATCAAATGATTGCAGTACCTCCTCAGCAGCCATGAAGGACTGAAGTAGCCTCTTAATCATCCAGTTATTTAAGCCAAGTAAAGCCTGAAAACGTCTAAAACATGCTGGACAGTGGATCCTGAGGAGCAGGATTGGGAACCACTGGTCTAACCGATCCCTGACATGTGCTGCCAATATTTTTGGGCAGATTCTTGAAGCCAATATTTTGCTTGTTTTCGTATATTGGATGCACCTAGACTTCCTGCCGAGTCTCCTTTTTGTTTACCAGAAAGTCTATATCTCTAACCTTGCTCCAACCTTTTCAACAACTAAACAGTCAACAGGAGTAAATTAAATGTCACAATAAAGTAAACTACAAACTAGCACCTTTAATGTGCAATTATTTTAATCTTTACAGTTTATTCTCTTCTGTAACTGAATTTAAATAACCGGACTCTGCCAGATGGATTTGCTCCATATATCCATCTGGAAACCTTCCGTTGAAGTAATTTTGGGAAGGGGCGAAAATACTGGTTAGCTGATTGGCCTATGTTGGTGATAGACGGGCCAAATAAACCAATCAGATCAACGAAGCGTATGACGTACTAACAGAGCGACGACGAAAACACAACCACAAGCCAGGCTACTCTTGCCGAAACCAGTCGGGAGAAGAGCAATAACATCTTTTCCTCTGAGAAAAGCTTCCAGAGCAGTGTTTTGCTCTTCTTTCAGTGAAGAAATACTCTGTAATCCGATAAAACTTGCTCGATAGCCACGCTAACGCTAGTTTCATCGGCTGAAGCCGCCATGTTCTTTAGACTGAACTGTCGCGCTTCTCGTTGCATCACACCTCAACCTGCCTCAAATGGATCATTAATTTAATTAATTTCTTACTACAAAGCTCCGTGTAGTTTTACAGTGCCACCACTAGGGGGGTGGACCCCCCACCCTAGGGTACCGCTGCACACAAAAAATTGTGAAATGCATACACTTATTGGCCCATACCAATATATTTAAAAAAAACACTAATATCCACAAAAAGTATTGGCTGATGGATGTATCAGTTTATTATTAATTTGGATGTCTTCAGGCTTACACCTGGGGTCCGTTTCACAAGCAGGTTTACTGAAAACTCTGTTCTCTAAACCTAAAATACGGCAAGATTTTCCTGTTTCATGAAGAGAGTTTCCTCAGCCTTTGTTTCAGTCACCGTACTAAGTTTCTCCCCAGAGCTAACCTGGTCAGCAGCAGGTTTTATTCAGTAAACTCAGGGTGTCCTCTGACTCCGCTCTCCTTAGAGTCAATCACGCTGTTTTATTTACTGACTTAGTCAGATGTTTGTCATAGTTTTGTGAACAAAAAATAAATAAATTCACAAGGTTCTTTTTAAAAAAAGCAAACATTGCATGTCTGTTTGACGAGGATCTTATTAAAAAATGATCTGCATTTTTTTCACAGAGAATTAAATATTTATAGGGAGAGGATTCTACAACTGGGTTGTCAGGATATGAGATGTATTTGTTTTTAGTTTAGTTATTTTGAGTGAAATGTGGATCATTTTATTTTAATTCATTTATTTTTAAGAGAACGAAGAACTACTGAAATGAGCTTCAGATTACACATAAATAGATTAATTAATTCTGCAGGGGGATAACTTTAGCACTAGAAATGTGATAACAACCTACTAAGCCTACTGTCACAATCTGAAGCCATTCTATGTGACTGAGAACCACAAATAACGACCATTTATTGGGATGATAACATCCAAAGCACTCTGTGTAATGGAAGACAGAATCACACTGAGAACCCATGACATGATGAACAGGTTCCATCTATTAGAACATCGTTTTTATTCTTCATCTTCACCTGCTGCCTGATTATTTCACCTAACTAGGTGCATTGATCCACTACTATTCAAGAAATAAACTTGTGATCACAACAGCCTATCACAGGCTGTTTTGTTATGTATTCGTTTTACTGAATATGTATTCCTGATATCTGAAAAAACTTTATTTCTTGTCAAAATAAATATTTCAAACAAAATGACATTCATCACATCCAGAATAAACATCCTGGAAATCTAGAAATTAATGTAATCTCCATGTTCCTATGATTACTGGTGAGCATTATTATTATTATTTTGACTGTGAAGAAATATATTTCAGTTATCATAAATACATATAAAATCAAGCTGATAAATGTCAGAATGGCCACTTAAAATGTGTAAACATTTCTAGATATATAAAACTTAAAGCTACAGTGTGTAATTTTCAGCGACATCTAACGTCCAGACTGCAGACCGCAGCAACATGAACATCTCCCCCCCACCGCTTCTCCCCCCCAACAGTACGGCGAGCATTAAGGGACAAAATGTCTTCCACGACGTCCGCATCACCTACCTTCTCAAGTGATGAGGTTTGTTTACATAGATAATTTTAATACTGCCATCTACTGTTCAGTACCGTCTCAGTGCATCTCTCTCAACTTGCCGTAGTTACTTTCGAGCGTAATGGGCGATCTCGCAATCGCTAGTTTGTTGGCTCTGCGCTGCCGTAGCGCAAAGATGTCTGCCTCCATGGCTGCGAGACCCGCTCCTATGTAATTATAAATAACGAATTCTAAGGCAACGCAAATATTAAGGTTAAGAGGCCGAGCTCGTAGATGATGATAAATAACATAGTTATGTATAATATATTACATTTCTGACTGTATATCCCTGTAATTATTACACACTGTAGCTTTAAGCCATACTAGTATAATTAAACTTGTCATGCATGCTCAACTCTGAGCGGACCTACTTGGAGTTGATTGAACTAATTCATAGCAACTGTTGTGAAACTGAAAACTCAGAGTTCCAGACTTTCGGCTACATTAAATTAGAGTTGCAGATTCGAATCAGAGTTTGTAAAACCTGCTTAGTGGAATGTACCCCTTTACTGTAGTTAATAATTCTACAACATTCTTTGGCTCAGATTAGGTCAACAGACAAAACGTTGACTTTCAGAAAGTTTTAAATGTGAGTCCGTTGTCCTATAACTTTACAAAGTCCCCCTCTGAAAAATATTACATTTTTGATCTATTTAAGCTATATATAAAAACACTTACAAACTCAAAAACTTGTGCAAAGCTGATCCACTAAACAGACTTAATACTTAATACTGATCCTCAGAACCTGCAAAATACCAGGAGGATATGCTAACGTATTCCCTTAAAACATAAAAATGCAATTTATCAAACCGGCAATAGGTTGTAGATGCAGATTTTGCATGTATATACTTGTACAGAATATATTTTATCCAGCAAAGACATTTTCAGCTGTGGGACTATGATTCCAGTTTATCATCACTTAATTGCACAGCATTCTTATGCCTACAGGAGCAAGAAGATCCTCAATAAAGCCAAGAAAAAACTAATGCAGTTAATAATTTTCTGCACACAACATATTGGGGAAAACACACAGTAGGACCATTTAATGTCGGACCAAATAATGCAGCTGGAATCCAACCAATCTTTGTGCAATTAAGCGAAACAAAAATGACAAGACTGAACAAAAAGCTGAGGTGGGTCATTTTACCTTCAGAGACTTTTACAGGATTATATTTTCAATTGCTCTGGATTTCATTAAGTTTTAAATCTGACATGAAAAAACATAAAGTTTGTCATGTTTGGCTTTTGGTGTCTACTGAAGCAATGCTTTTTGGACGAAAACATCAGCTACAAAACATCAAACCATGGAGAGCAAATCTGGCGCCCACACAATTTACTTTTAAAACTGCACCACTGCAGTCCAGGTGTAACTTTAATGCCGTAAACATCAGTGAGTGAGACAGACTCTTATTGTACTGGTGGGAAGCTGTGTGGGGGAGTGTTACCTCTTGGCCAGTCACCAGCAGGATACTGTCTTCCTTTCCATGTTGAACTTGTCTGAAAATGTGATCCAGGATCAGAAGTTCAGACCAGCAGTTGTGCAGCAGCTTCATTTGATCTCCCACCTTCAGAAAAACAGAGCAAAGCAAATGTCAGAAACTCTGACCTTATTTAAAACAACTCAACTCGCCTTTCTGCTAAGAATCCGAACTTATATTTTTACTTTCTGTCATCCAAGATACTTAAACACCTTATGTGGTTAGAAATTACTGTAAAATGAGCACAGGAGCTGGTGATGATACAGCAGTAAATTAAAGGTGGTATGTGTGTGTGTGTGTGTGTTGTCTGATGTTGGGTATTTATGAGATTTGACCTCTACAACCTGCTAACCTTAATGTTCCTACCTTGAACAGTCACATCTGTGCAGCTCTGTTTGGGGGATGAGTTTGTGTTTGTAGATTAACCCCACCCCATGGCAGTATTGACAGAAAAGCGAAGGACACGGCAGACAGTAATTCTGCAGGCACAGCTGCTAATAGGCCCAGACACACATTCATCTGACACAAGATGACAGAATTACTGTTCATATGAATGAAACTATATATCAGGGGCAGTGAAGACTGTCCAATCTTCTTTGCTGCACTCATCTAGGCTGGTGAAGTGGTTTGAGTCTGCATGTGCAGTGATAAAAGGAAGGGGTTAAGGAAGCAAGAGGTCTTGGTGACCTCCTCTGCTTCCTCTCCAAAAGGAGTTGGAGGCAGCCGCAGAGATACTTGGAAAATAAAACCTCAAACATACAAGAAGCAGGATTTAGAACGGCTTTATTTTGTTCTCCATATGAAATGCTAATGTTTCTGACTCTCCATTTCTGATACGTGTTAAACTGGCTTTAAATACAAATAAAATATCCTACCTCACAAAACTGAATGGATGGATACATGATTCAAAAGAACTGATCTATCAGCAAAGGATTTCCGTTTTATTGAAAAAAATGTATACAGCAGAAATAAAGGAAAAATAGCAAGCAGCAGCTTTCCAGTACTATCACATGCTTTTTATTTTAGTATGTCCCTTTAAACCCTTAATGCATTTTTACTACTTCACAAGAAACCACAACTTCTATGACTATAACTTTAAGAAGCATCCCTACTTAGAAGCATCCTCATAAAATAGTGCAACGCTTTGGCACAATTTTTTATAATATGCTGGAACTAAACATTATATTCAAGCTCCAATATGACTAAAAGCTGGACATGCAGGCGACAGAAAGGGGAGCTGAAAGGATTACAGTTCCAGAGGCCTCTTCCTTCTGCACAAGATTTCATGTTTGCTGCAAGAACTGATCTCTGAACATCCTCACTAACTGCTGACACCCTTCACATCCATTTCTTTTTTAAGCTACCAGCAGTAGGCTACTGTAAAATCAAAGGCAGAACTACTACAGCACAGAGAGTTTTTTGTCTTAAATTGTTAAAATACTGAACTGATGTTAGGACTATGAGGCTTACACAACAGAACTTAATGTTTTATTTGTTAGGAAGTTTTAGTGTTTTGATTTTGTTTAATATTTTTCACAAAATATGACAGGCCTAAAAAAAAGAACACTCACATTTTTGTTATCTGCTATTTAGCTTTCAATTAATAAAGTGCTCTGATAAAGTTTATTACATTTAGTTATGCACACAGCATAAACCTGCTGAAATTAGAGCATTAAATGCAATATTTGGAATTCATTTTCAAGCTCAAAATATCAGAGTAATATTTGACTATTTGGAAATTCCAAGTAAGAGAAAGTAAATAAGTAAGTAAGGCTAACTCTGACTGAAGCTTCCTCACTTCAGCAATACTTGTTTTCATTCAACAGCTCATTGTAAGCTCAAACACCAAAGAAAGACAAAGGCCACTTCTGAGGATCCGTCAGTTGCTTCCATTTTACAAACTATTTAACAATGTAGGCAAGCATGAAGCAAAGCTGCAGCAGGGGCTCACATTCCCCCGTTATCATCTGCATGGAATGTAATTATCCAGCACAGGGAAAAAGCCATTTCAACAGGGGCTGTTCTTGGCAAAATACATACAGTTTTATTCTCACAGCTTTGGCTGTGTATAAAAATGGTCAGGTTGTCAAAAGAAACACGTCAGATGCATTTTAAAAGAAGGATTTTAATTCAAATTTCAAATAATTTAAAGATCATGTGCAAAAAAAGAATAAAAGTCAAGTGCTCATGAAAATAAGAAGATAAAGACTAATAGAAAAACATATAGTATTTTATTGAAATGCTCCAGTTCTCTACTGTCAGTACATGGAATAATGAAATCTACCAACATTTAAAACCTTACCATTTTTGTATTTGCTACCTTGTGTTGTTCTCCTGCTGCTACTTATGTCCTTTTCGATTCAGAACAACTTGTTTTAAAACCTAGAAGCAACCATTAATACAGTTTTTAATGATTTCATATACCACAGTTTTGGGTCAGCAGTTCTGCTCAGCTGCTGTATTTCTCTGCCTCTGGTTACAGAGGGGAAATGTATCCCTTCATCACTTTTTGTACAAAGATACCTTTTTGTGTTTTTATGAGAGGGTGAAACAATTATCAGTCCCAACATAATGTGACCTTTGTTTCTGAGACAAAGAACATGCAGAAGTTACAACTACAACAATACAATCCCTGTAAAAATGAAATATCTGTCAACAGTTTTACAGAGTTTAGGGATTTTTCGGGGGATTGAAAGGTGATAATAAATATCTTTTTATTTATTAGCAGCTGAAAACTGTTGGGAAACTAAATGAATGCAATTTTAAAAATGTTCCTAGCAGCATCAAGAGGGAGATTGGCTCATTTGTGGGTATTCTGAAAGAACAGGGGAAAAAAGTGAGATCCAAAAGGTTTCTAACCACCTTGTCTCCAAAGATTAACATCATAATTCCTAATATTTCAGAAAAAAACAAAATCAGTTCTAACATCTTGATAGCTTTTTACATTAAACAGTTTTTTCTTTACCTTCATAATCAACTACAAAATTAAATAAGCATCTCTATTGCATCTAATGTTATGACTGTCCTATGAAACAAAGACAAATAACCAAAAACCTCCAAGATGGGCAATATTGCACAGCCAAACATTTAAACTTCTTCATAATTTGTATGTTTAAGCATATGAGGGTCCTGAAATGAGCCTTGGCTGTAAATATACAGTTCTGCATGAAAGTTTACATAACCTTCAATTAAAGACAGAAAAAAATCAGATGGCTGTAAAATAAATTGAAATTGACAAAAATAATAAGAAATAAAAAATGGAAATCATGACACTGACTTTAAATATATACATATGTTTATATTCATACATTAAAGAAGTAAATAAATCTTATGCAGCTCCTGAACTAAACACTTTAAGGCAATAAGTTAAATCTGGTGTTTTCTGAGATGTTCAAGAAATGTTGAACCAGACTTTTGCATCTGTGGGACGGTATGTTGGTTCACTGTTCAAGAGCAAGCTACTTTAATTTGTCTGTCTTTATTCTTTTTTAGAATCATTTTTTAACATAAAAATAGAAAATCAATTATTTATTTTACTCAATTATCATTTAGTACATTTTTATTCTTTATTAATTTTTCAGTTTTGTGTTATTAGAATTACTACTGAGAAAGTATAATTTTCTTTAAAGGGAGGAAATGTAAACTTTCAAACACAACTGTACTTATGGTAGTTTTCTGTTGCAGACTGGCCGCAAAGTAGTTTTGTTTAATCGCATGTGGAGCGAAAAGAGCTAAATTCTGAAGATTCTGAGCAACCAAAAGATTCCCCATCCCACAGAGAAATGTATGCAGGTAAGCTTTACTGCTTGTCTCTATAGATGAACATTATTAGCTGTACATTGTTTATTGTTTCCAACATTTGCTCCAATATACAGGGAAAGCATTTAAATGCAGCTTTGATCTGTTTTATTTTTTGTTTAAGAGATTGCTGCAAAGTCAGCGTCACAATGACCGATGTCATACACCTAACAGTCAGAGAAAACAGGGATTAAAGTGTTCCAAGTGTAGGGAATCAAATAGAGTTTCTGACAAACAATTCCAGTGATCTGAACCACAGACCAAGGAAAACTCAAGAGCAGCATTTCGCAATTGCAAATTAATGTTATCATACTGATTTTTATACAGCAGGATTTGTATTAAAGTCTGCAGTGTCTTCAATAGGAGCTAAAGGCAACAAAACAACTGGCAGATGACACCAACAGATGGGTCTGGTAAAGAGGTAATGAAACAAAGCTCATTTTAAATGCTGCCAAGGGGATAGAATGTCTAAAGACAAAAATGCATGTAGCTAAATGAGAGGCTAAACTACGGAGCTAATTAAATGTGAGTATTTGACACAGAAATGAACATGGGGGAAATAAACAGGTCCAAAAAGGATCTTAATCAACCAAAACACTTAACTCTAAATCAAATCTTCCAAATCAACACATAAAGAACAGAATGAAGAAGAAGAAAGAATCTCATCAAAAATACATAAACAGTGTATGGAACACCACTGATGACAAAAATCAAAAAACTAAAAATACATCAAATACAAAACCTACTGACAATCAAACTACAAAAACCTGTAGATCATGGAGTTTTACAAACTATATTATAAACAAAAAAATTCAAGTTAAATAAGTTAACTAAACTGATTTTTTTTTTTTTTGCCAGACCAAGAATGTATTAAAGAGAAAGAACAAGTTCAAAATGTCTTTTAAAATGTCTCCAACATATGGAGAGCCCTCAGTTAGAATTTTTTAGACTTATTAAAATTTTTGAAAAAATAACAAGAATTAGATCATGTTGGGTCTTTTTTTGGGAGGTGAGTTAGTATCATTAGTTAATCTATTTAAACTTGGCTGGCATAAACAACCACAGCACTGAAAGTCTTTGTTACAAAAGGATGTTGTCATCCTGGCTGTCATGTAAAGACAGGACCGATACAGGCTATTTAAGGCCGATACCAATTAGACTAAACGATCCCTGATATGTTCCGCTGATATTCTTAGAGCCAATATTTCTTTTTCTTCCTGCATTATAGAAATGACAGCATAATGACAATTGTTCAACATATCTCAATCTAAATAAATAAGGAACCTATTAACAAATCAAACAAAGCATGGATAGCAAATAAAAGGACACACAATGCATTCTCTTCACGTGATCTAAAGGCCTCGCTGCTGAATGCTTGTATCTGCCAATAAAGGTGCAGGAAAAAAACACTAACATCTGCTAAAAACATCGGCCGGTCGATGAATTGGTCTATCTCTAATGTAAGGTACTGTGTTACAAATATCTCACCCAGCCACAAAACAATAAATGTATACTTTTGATTTAAGAACAGCAGCTAAATTAGCTGTAGGGGAATTTTGATTGTTTTTTGTCCAAGAACAGCACAAAATTCATACCTGAGATCCCTGTTACTAGCAAATGCTCATAAAGTTTCCCCTTCTATTGCAAAATCGATGCAATATACGGTATGCATAAAAAGAAATCCTTAACTACAGCAACGGATGGTAATTTGTGATATTTAAAAAAATAATAATATAAAAGCAGTAGCAGTAGCAACACAGGTTTAAAATAAAAACTCATGTGACTAATCATGTTACTGAGATCAACATTTTTTAACTTGATTTTAATATCATGAAAGAGAGTCAGATAGAGACGAAAACTAACTGAACTCACAAAACAGAACTTCTTCACCAGCATCTTAGTATTGTGGTCTCTTTTTGGTGTCCCTTTGTCTCATTAAGTCATGAAATGAATAAATTAAAATGATGAAAAAAAATAAATAAACCTCAGCCTTAAGTTAATCTGGCCAAATCACATCTATTACGGTTAGCCATACTGCCTCCAACACTCCCACACCTCCCACCAACTTTCTTGGCTCTCAATATTCCTGAGAGAGGACTGAGAGGAGATGCTGGCATAAATAAACACGAAGACGAATGGCAAACATTATGATTTATGAAAAACACATCTGAATTAATCAAAACAATTACAATATATATGGTAATTGGAATTTACAGTTGTGCTTGACAGTTTACATGCCCTCCTTTCAACGATAATGATACATTCAGACTAGCAATTCAAATTACAAAGTAATAATAAATAAAAATGAACTAAATGATAATAGAGGAAAATAAAATCTAGATTTGTTTATTTTAATTTAAGAAAATGAATCTAAAAGACTAATTAAAGTATCTTGCTCATTAACAGCCAACCAACATCCCTATCAACAGGTGCTGAACATTTCCTGAACTTCACAGAAAACGCCGCATTCAGTTATTATAAGTGTTTCTCAACAGCATTTCAGTTCAGGAGTTGCATCAAGCTGGTTTACTTGTTGTATTTGTCAATATTTATGTATATTCAAAATTGATGTCATGATTTCTGTTTTTTATTATTTTATTTATTATTACTTTTGTCAATTTCTACTTATTTTACTGACAGCTGATTTTTTTTGTCTTTAATTGAAGGGTATGTAAACTTTGAAGCACAACTGTACTTTATGTTGAGAAATGTTTCATATTTATATATATGTTTTCACGGTTCGTAATTATTATTGAACCTTTTATCAAACATGAGGTATAAAACAGCTAAAGAACAGACATCACAGCAGTTCTTATTATATCAAATGCAACGTTTTTCTTTTTTTCAATGTATCTGCAAGCAGAACTCCTATTTCTGTGTTCCAGGATTGTATTTCTATGAACTGGAGAGCCATACAGTGTTTGGCCTCCCCCTAAACCATGGAAACAGCTCTGACCCCTGCCCTTTAGAAAATGAGGAAAGGAGTTCAGTCCTATTCTTTTTCTGTTTTGCTTAGATTCTAAGAATTAAAAAAAACACAAATAAAGAGAATACACAATCATGGAGGACGTTCTGATAAACTAACAAAGAAACAATATCTCTTTAAATATGGAGATATACTGCAATGACCTCAACTCTATTCCCTTCTGATTCTAAAATACCTATTTGCACCCCAGCTCTCCAAAACGTGGTTCAGAAACATCTTTAAATACACAAAGCTTTGTGTTTCAATCAAGTAGCTCGCATTGAAAAGCAAACTGTTCTTAGAGGCAACATGTCAACTCTGAAGCTGCAGAAAAGCTGAAAATTTTTCATTTAATTCCTTT